CGTCTGTGCGGGCACGACAGTCCTGCCATCACCCTTCGTCCTCACAAACTATTTCACAGGGTCCTTTGAACCAGAGACCACCACACGGCGATATGCCACCGGATAAGTGATCCCCATACTGCACAAAATAACAAAATGTTCCCCACGTCGAGGACCGCAGTGAAAACGAGTATAATGATGAGCAACACGAAAGTTGTCGGTGCTCTAATTCATCAAAACACTCTATCCTCCGTTGGTTCAGGCCTCTGCCACACGAAGAGGCACAGATGTAACATCATTTACACGCAACAGAGTGAAATCCGCAAGAACATCGTCAGAGTCATGCAGGACGCAACAACCACCAGCCCGCTCAGCAGCTGTTGCGGTCATATTCTGTAAAACATGATCCACGTCCACAGAGAACTTGTTGTCCAGTTGCACAAATAATTGATGGGTCAAGCAACGTGGGCCCAAGAACGACGACAACAGTCGATATTAGACCTTGGAACCGCCAGTGAGAGCCATTGATTGGAACAAACACCAAAGCCACCAGCGGCCAACAAGAACTGCAACAAGGCACTCGTACTTCAATCAAAGGACAGATTCGTCTCGTCCAAAAAAAAAAAAAACATTCTTCCTTCTCACAGAGCCTTCCAGCAATGAAACACCATCATGCAGTCCGCCCTTATCGGCATTACTCAGGAGCACGAGAACTGTGCAACGCGTAGAGGGAGCTGCAATCAAGCAAATAAGATGCTCCACGGTGGCAAACAGACACCTCACAGGCCAAGCATCAACCAATCGCGAGCAGCATGTCTCTTCATGGACTCTCCGTTTTGGTTCCAACCGAGACGGAAGGCCTTCGTCGCTCAGCACCAACCCCGCGTTGCATCGTGTCGTCAAATAAAAAAAGTGAAGACGACGGAGCACATCATCGGGGAAATCGTCCTCATTTGTGGGAAACGGCATCGCACCCGCCGGAAACAGGTGCGCATGATGTCCCTCCACGTCAGCTGCGCAGACTGTCAGATGAAGGAAAATATCGGTGAAACGGAAGTCAGCGCAATTACCTCCAGCCCAGGCAGTTTTATCAGGAAGATCGAATCATCAAGTCGGGGCTCCACACTTGTTGAGGGATATCGTGACGCTCTGACAAGTCCACATGCATGTCCACACAATGTCCTATTTCCTTTCCCTCATCTGCATGCGTCCGTATCGTCTCTTAAGCCACATCCAGGAGAGATCAGATGGCGAGTGGCACCTGGTCAGCCAGCGCCTTTCCATTCCCTAAAGCACCAAAGATCGAAGCCTCAAAATCAATGGCCATCAATCAATGATGCCGTTGGCACAGGACCTCCTCTGGCCAACGCCAGACACTTGCTCCGGAGTACATATTATCCCATGCCTCGCTGACGCCACCCTCAGCATCCCCTACAGGTACACCGTGCATTCACTCCCACGATACAGGTGTGGGCTACACCTCAAGGAAACTGCACAATGTGCCTGCAAACTGCTCGTTGAAAGTTGTCATTGTGTTGGGTGGCAGGGGCAACGCAATCACACCTTGCGGCTCCTCAAGAGATCGGAGAAGATAGCAATCATAATTCAATTGGGATGGGTTTCGCAAGCCCCCTCTGACATTTCTCCGATGGGGTGCCTCAGTGCATATGAAACCTTGTCCGTGGGACGGAATGCCTATGCGCTCTAAAAAGGTAAGAATAAACTCACGGGAGAAGAATACGTAATATAGCGGAAGCAAAATGCCAAGAATAAAAAAGAACGGTGAAACAATTATATGGAGGGATACACATAAGAAAATAGGCGTTGATCAATGTGTAGATATATCGATATGGGCATGAGTATAAAAACGATACTTTATTCTTATTCATTGATGCATCTGTATAGATATGGATGTATCCCTTCTCTCTCCTACAATTTGACCGATTGCTCAGTTTCTTGGTTTATTGAATTGCTATTTTATAAACTGCGTATGTATGTAAATATCGGTATGAATATCTATTCAGCGCATTTGATATATATATTGTTACTATTCCTCGTGCCTTTTCAAGTAAATACGAAGACCCACACGCCAGCCACCATCGCAGAGCACGTCCGCCCAATGATTAAAGATGTGAAAGAGAGCCCCGGCACCCAAAGTGGGAGCCGCAGCGGAGGCCGTGAAGCACACACCACCGCTACGCACCCGCCCCGGGGACAGTGCGGTGGCTCGATAATCCGTTGCCGCCAAGAATCAATAAAACAACAAATCACAGAACCAACCAAACATGGACGCCATAAATGAGAAAAGGAAGAAGAGAGCAGCTTGCCACGAGCAAATACGACCTGCCGCATCTGCGAGGGGCCTCGTGCCCTCTCGCCGCGCGGAGATACTGCTGGGGCAGAGACCTTTCCACCTCAAAGTGGAGACACACCAATATTTCCGTGAAGCACGGCTTCCCCACTTCTCCAATGTCCGCTCCATGCTTTTTTCTGGGCGCCTGCAGAGCCGGGCAGCGGAGTAAATGCCGACCTGCCTCTCCGCACAGTTCCGGTCGGCCGGTTTTCACAATGTCCGATCGATGCCCGTGGCGTGCCGTGCGGTAGCGGGTCAGTCAGGCATTGCTGTGGCACGGAAACCCGCATGCTGGACGGCGAAACCAAACTGGTGGTGATCCCATCGGGCTGTCGTCACCGGGCAACGTGCGCCTTCTCGGCGGCCTGACCTCTCTGCCGTCGGCAAATCGGCGACAGCGTGACGTCCATCAACGCATGCGTGTGCGTGCCATTTTAGGCACACGGTGCACTGTTTCTCGGTGGCATTCCCCTCCTGTGCAGAGGTGGGGTTTCTGTGTGGGTTTGATGTTCTTCATGCGGAGGTTCGAGTCTTGCAGCGCGTGGCTATTCATTCTCCATTTTTAGTGTCCCGACTTTTTTTCTGTCGGGTGTTTGTGCCGTGTGTGGGTGGTCAACCCCCGGCATTGCCCGCCTGTCCGTCATATTAAAAGCGTTTACAAAGTGCTTCCCTCTTCGGTGCCGACCGTGGCTCTGTGCTGGAGTGTTCGTGTGCTCGTAGGCGGGATGGTGGTCCCGCTTTCGCTTGAGCCCCGAATTCACAGTACGTGCATTCGAGCGCGGTGGATGCCGTCAGACCGTCATATTCCTGGCAGCGCCTTCTATTTGTCGGGGGAACTCTTGCTTGTGGAAATGCCAAAGATGAGATACGGTTCCGGCTTGCTTTTCGTACGACGCCGTGCGTAAGCTGCATGAGAGAGTGGCTGCGGCCTGAGCCGTGCAGTCTGCGGCGGAGGTGCGGTCGGTGTGCCGTCTTTCGCTCTCGTCCTCGCACAAGTGCTTGTCGGTGGTTCCGGTGGGATTTCTGGCGGCTCCGACTCACCGGGAAAGTCAAATTCCCGCAGCGCCTGAGAGCGCGTAATGCCATGGGCGTTCACCATGCGCGTCACGACACTAGTGCGGCAACTGCAGTGCTTGCCGCACACCGGGCAGTCTGCCGGGCGTCGGATCGTGGCGGGGTAAGGTCAGCGTGAGGAGGAGGCGTTTCCGTGCGAAGTTCTTTGCGTGCCTGCTGTGCGGCATCCGCGCCGCACCAACGGCATGTGCCTGGGATGGCGGGTTGCAGTGGCCGTGGCAACCATCCGTTATTGTGCGAAACCCCGGTGCGGAGGCGGTCCAGTGCAGCCTCTACCCCGCGAGTGACAGTGGATCCCGTGCGCGTGGGTTCCCAATCGCCTGATACAGTGGAGCGGCGAGCTCCTGGCTTGAGCTGTCGGGCACAAATAATACCTTCGGCCAATGAAAACGATGCCGGTGCTCCATGTGCCTCTGAGCTGTGCGAGGTCGGACGCCTCCTCGGCTTATGCTTCACATGCCTCGTTCTTGGGTATGCCGCAGTGGCCGAAGGCAAGCTGCAACCGTGTGCGCGTTCCTCGGTGCTGCTGGCGAGAAAAAAGGGTACGTCCACGATGTGAGTCACCAGGTGATCCAAAACCGTCGACATGTGTTCGCGTGCTCCCACGGTTCGACGAGAAGGTGCACAGGCGCACGCTGCCGTGTAAAAAGTCCCGGTGAATATCGTACTCTCCATGCTAACGCCACACCCCTCTGTATCTGCTGTGGTACCTGAATTTTGCAGGGCCAGAAGGAAATTGGGGAAAAGAAAGAATTCCTCGTGTAGGCATCCCCGTACCAGCGTGTCCAATCCGCGACAATATCCTTTGCCCGTGGAGCGCGGTGTGCCAACTACATCAATGGCAGCGCCGTGAAGGGATGTGCAAATTGCCGGAAGTGGCCGTCACACCTCGTGCACACACAAAACACGCGGGCCGTAGCGGGCAACAAATCCCAATGCCGCGTCATCCAAGTCTCGCGCGTTCCACGTGCACACCTGAGGGATCCAGCCATGGCGGCGGTGCGCTCGAGGACAAGTGTGGAACGTGACTGGGATGGCCTGGTCCGTCACTTCCACCGCTAAAGAGACATCAATCCCCCGCTGCACTCGCCACGCCATGGCAGCCCGGAATCACAGCAATACGTCGCGCCCCAATACATAATCCCGCTCAAAGGCGTTCCTGGAAGCCTGGAGCCCTGCTCCTACTCTGTCGCCGCTTTGCTTCTGAAAGCTGTAATGCCTGTTGCATGGAAACCCACGATAAGGCAGGACTGCAATTCATTACTTCCAATAGGCGGTTCACTGAATCCCTCCTCCATTGCATAAAATGAGCATTGAGTTCCTCGCACACAACTCCATGAAATTACAGTCCGATAAAACGCAAAACCAGCAGTAACAAGAGCGACAATTCAATCCCCTTCCACACAATCATCGTGGAACGGGAAAAACTCCTGGAAGCACCCGCTCAAAAATGAAAACAAATCGGTGCAAACAACGACCAACAACACTCTCGGCGCCGTTAGCGACGGATGGCTGTGGTGCGCAGCACATCCATGGCCCTGCGCCCTCCCGCATCAACTAGCACCGCATATTTACTAATTCCACGTATTACACGTCACAGAGCGGCGTAATCGATCATACGGCTCGCACTGGATGCACCGTCGAACAGGCTCAGGGAGTCTGAGCGGGTGTCACCGGTCACAGACTGCAACGGCGGTGCGGGTGGTCGGTACGACGACGCAGCGGTAGTGCCTGAGGCGTACGACTGTGACGTCATGTCGTGCAGCTTCTGCGTCTCTTCGTCGTTCTCCTCGTCATCGCGCAGCAGCGCCTCCAGCACACCACGCCGCGGCTCGCGCAGCTCCTGCCAGTGACAGTCCTCCGCGTGCCACACAACGACACTGTACACAGTGGCCGCAAGCAGAACAGCGATCAGCAGCAGCACGATCGCCGCGTACGCCCTCGCACCGCCGTCGCTCGGCGCAAGATGGTTGGCCGCGCTGACCACGCACAGCGCCGCAAGCAGCACAAAGCTCGCCGTGCGCATCACCGTCAGGAAGGCCGAGCGCATCATGTTCGTGAAGGCAACCACGCCCGCACCCGCAAGCAGCACAGCCGCCATGCAGAAGTACTGGACGTGGCAGCCTCCCACGGACGGGTGCACAGCCGCAATCAGGCACACCACGCACAGCACCGACAGCTGAAACACGCACCAGTACACGCGGCTGCCCCTCATGTTCGTCAGCATGCCGCCGTACATCCGCTGCTGCGCCGCGGGGTGCCAATACCCGACGGGGTACAGCAGGCGCTCGGGCAGCGGCTTCCTCGAAAACTGCCAGTACCTCGTGAAGCTCGCGCCCGTGTAGCGGGCAATCATGTAGCACACACCAGCAGGGAACGCCACTCCGTACAGCACGCCAACGGCACCAATCACGTAGTGCTGCACGCGGGCGCCGGGCATCGCCAGTGCAAACACGGAGCCGAAGAAGATGCCGAGGTGCATCGCGTGCGCCACGACGTACGTCAGGCTCGGGAAGCGCATCGCCGCCCACGCACTCGCCGCGTCTACGCCGCGCCACCGCTGAAAGGCCGCCGTCACACCGCAGTGCACGCACCCGAACACTGCGGCGAGCAGCGCGTTGCCCACCACCATCCACAGCGGGTCAAGGGCAGCGAACACCGACAGGAAGTACGGCAGCGCAACGGTGCTCGCACGCTCCCGCGCCGAGGCGCACGGCATCCTCGCGAACACGCCGAGCGCCTGCATCTCCAGAATGGAACCCAGCCCGCCGGTCACCACCACGGCAACAGCCGCCGCACCCGCAACAACGCCGGTGATCGCCGAGAGGGCGCTGGCAGCGGCGGGCAGCGTGTTCAACCTGATCGTGAAGGACCCAAGCAGCACACCCTTGCAGCCGCCGAACACCGCCGCAGCGTCGCAGCGAATGACTATCGTCTCGTCGACAGCAATGAAGTAACCGCGGTGCACGGGCACAGCCAGCTCCAGGACGGTGGACGGATTCGTCGCGTTGCGCTCCCACGTCGCGTTGCTCAGCATCGCTCCCCACGGACCACCAAACCCGCTCGGCTGCGCCGTGGACACCGGCACAAAGCTCAGGTGCGTGCCGAGCCGCGGGTCGCGTGCCCAACGAAACGGTGGCGGCAGCGCCACCATTAGCCATGTCGGGACGGCGCTCCCACCGCCGCGAATGTCGTTCTGCGTCAGTTTCCCACCAGCCGCCGTCGTCGTCACGGCGAGCGTCGGGCACGCCACGTCGCTCCACCACAGCGTGCTGCTCACCGATGCCGTCGGGGTCCGCGTGGGCGGCGGCGCCACCGTCTCCGTCACCTGCAAACTCTCCGTCGAACTGTACTGCGTCGGACTGTAGTGCGTCGTGCTCAGACTCGGCGTCCCCGTTGGCGTCAGGCTGCGCGTCGCCGTGTGGCTCAGCAGCGGCATGCCGTGCGTGCGGTTGCACCCGTCCACGTGCGGCAGGTGCATCGGCAGGCAGTCGCGCCCGTAC